AAGATAAGATGTTGCAAAAGGAAGAAGAATGCCCATGGCCCTCTGCCCTAAGAGTGGATACTGCCTCTCTACACTCAGCCAGAATTCACTCAGTGTCTGTGATGTGAACCTCAGTCTCAATGTGGAGTCAGACGTCATATCAATGAACTGGTCCTCCTCTGCAGAGCTGAAACCAGTTGGAGCTGGTGCATTGAAAGGATCTCTCACCCAGTCATATTGGGAACTGTTTTCAGGGAAGTACTTTTTAAAGAATCCCATCAGTGATGAATAATGCTCCTTAATATATGGAATCACTGAGGTGGCATCATAGTCAGTAGTGTCAACAAATTCATGCAGGTTCTCGAATGAATCAGTATTTCCTTCATCAAGTCGCCTGCCCCACATTGCAAGCTTTCAAGTGAAAGAGCTGATCTTGAAGCTGTAGATTTAGTTCATTTAGCTTTCCAAATATGTCACTCAGGTAGGCCAGTTTTGCCAGGAAGTTCTCATCAATAAATTTTTCTGCGAGGTCATACTTGTGCTCCTGCTCCGAAAACATTCGTATCTGCTCTCTGAGCTCAAAAACTCGGGACAAGGCTTTTCCTCGTGACAGCCACCTTGCTTCACTGTGAAACAGCACAGCTTGATGTTCAGCTCCCATCTCTTCACAGATAGCAGAGAAGACTCTTGTTTTTAGTGGTCTGGTCTTTATGAAATTGACTACACCTACTATGTCAGTCATAACCTCACTTAATTCAGAGGAAAGGTGCCTTGATGCCAGTGCTTCTCTGTGTATAACACAGTATGTCCACTCAGCATTAGGTGAGGCCTTCTTGATGAGTGCCCGAAGTCCTTTTCTCATCCCTGCCATGGTCTGTGCACCATCACTGCAAACACCAATGCAGTTCTCCCACTTTAGCCCATTCTCAGTCAGGAAGCAGTCCAGCATTTTGAATAGCTCTTCAGCTGTGGCTCTGTCTCTGACATATTTATAAAAAAGTAGATCCTCACACAGGGAGTTTGTCATGTCAAAACGTACATAAGCGATAAACAAACAGTCTTTGTTGCTGTCAGTTGCTTCATCGAACTGTAAGGCAAAACGTTTGTCTTTGAGTTTATCTACCAGCTGTTCTTTAAGATCGTTATCAATGTCATCTATACGTCTGGCGACAGTGTCAAATAGGACAGAGGGATAGTTTTTATTTTTGCAGCACTTGCGTCATCCAGCATGACAGAGACCATGTCTAATGCTGCAGGCAGTATCAGCTCCTCTGCTATGGAGTGTTTTTTTTTGCACTGAGCAATTTGGTACGCCACCTTATATGATGCTAACAGTGCTCGCTGGTTTACTGAAGTAGCATTCACAAAGCGGGACGATTGTTGGCAATATTCGGCACGTTTTCGCTGAAAAAACTCAAGCGGCTTATCAGCGTGATTGGGGTGTAATGTCTTTAAGTGACGCCTTAATTTATTTGGCTTCATGCTGTCCGCTGCCAACGTTTTTAGACACAGTAAACATACCGGTCTTTCCTCGTCTCCCACCGTAGTCACAGTGAAGCCAAGCGCTACATACGCTTCGTCATATTTCCTCGTCTTAGCTTTCGGGAGACTTACGTTTGTCTCATTATCTCCGTCTCTCTCCGCCTTTCTTTTCATCCCTGTTAAATATTTTTCCATGGTGTCTCTTAAGGGTTTGTTATCTGCACTTCATATCTCCTGCTCTGTGCTGTGTGCTCTTGTTCGGTGCAAAAAAAAACTACTCCCTGCGGCAAAAAAAAGTATGTTCCCCGGGGTCACATGCGCCCCCCCTGGCATCGCTCCGAGCCCCCCCAGGGGGGCGCGCCCCACTATTTGAGAAGGACTGCCATAGTGGAACCCTTTTTGGTGCTATATGGAACCTTTTTTTGAAGGTTCTATTACAAACAATACTAATATGGTTCTAAATAGAACCTGTATGGTGCTATAAATAACCCTTTCCTAAGGTTCTATTAATAACCATAAAAAAAGGTTATATATAGCACCAAAAAAAGGGTTCCACTATGGTTACAACACTTTTTGGGGCTACTGTATATATAATTATATAATTATCACTAAAATAGGAAATAACCCTTTTGAACTGCAAAGAACCATTGAAATGGCATATTATAATAATAATAATAATAATTACATTTTACATTTTAGTCATTTAGCAGACGCTCTTATCCAGAGCGACTTACAGTTAGTGAATATTTTTTTTTTTTTTTTTTTTTTTTTTTATACTGGCCCCCCGTGGGAATCGAACCCACAACCCTGGCGTTGCAAACGCCATGCTCTATCAACTGAGCTACATCCCTGCCGGCCATTCCCTCCCCTACCCTGGACGACGCTGGGCCAATTGTGCGCCGCCCATGAGTCTCCCGGTCGCGGCCGGCTGCGACAGAGCCTGGATAATAATAATAATAATAATAATAAGGGCTCAAAGGGTTATTTGGGTCATTATGGTTCCACATAGAACCATCACCCTTCCCAAAGAATCCTTGAGGAACCCTAATTTTTTGTGTGTAGTGAGACACCGCATTACTTTTCTTACTAGAGAAAATCCTTTGAAAAGCATTTGAATAATGCAACTAGTTTTCTACCCACTCAGATGGTTGTTTTGTTAGCATTGTCCCACTTTTAACATGATGCATACAATCCTGTCTTACATGTTCCAGGTCTCTTCAACATACAGTTGAAGTCGGAAGTTTACATACACCTTAGCCAAATACATTTAAACTCAGTTTTTTCACAATTCCTGACATTTAATCCTAGTAGAAATTCCCTGTCTTAGGTCAGTTAGGATCACCACTTTATTTATTTATTTATTTTGGGTAGCCTTCCACAAGCTTCCCACAATAAGTTGGGTGAATTTTGGCCCATTCCTCCTGACAGAGCTGGTGTAACTGAGTCAAGTTTGTAGGCCTCCTTGCTCGCACACGCTTTTTCAGTTCTGCCCACAAATGTTCTATAGGATTGAGGTCAGGGCTTTGTGATGGCCACTCCAATACCTTGACTTTGTTGCCCTTAAGCCATTTTGCCACAACTTTGGAAGTATGCTTGGGGTCAATGTCCATTTGGAAGACCCATTTGCGACCAAGCTTTAACTTCCTGACTGATGTCTTGAGATGTTGCTTCAATATATCCACATAATTTTCCTTCCTCATGATGCCATCTATTTTGTGAAGTGCACCAGTCCCTCCTGCAGCAAAGCACCCCCACAGCATGATGCTGCCACCCCCGTGCTTCACGGTTGGGATGGTGTTCTTCGGCTTGCAAGCAGCCCCCTTTTTCCTCCAAACATAACAATGGTCATTATGGCCAAACAGTTTATATTTTTGTTTAATCAAACCAGAGGACATTTCTCCAAAAAGTATGATCTTTGTCCCCATGTGCAGTTGCAAACCGTAGTCTGGCTTTTTTATGGCGGTTTTGGAGCAGTGGCTTCTTCCTTGCTGAGCGGCCTTTCAGGTTATGTCGATATAGGACTCGTTTAAACTGTGGATATAGTACTTTTGTACCTGTTTCCTCCAGCATCTTCACAAGGTCCTTTGCTGTTGTTCTGGGATTGATTTGCACTTTTCGCACCAAAGTACGTTCATCTCTAGGAGACAGAATGCGTCTCCTTCCTGAGCAGTACCTTCAGGCATTTGGAAATTGCTCCCAAGGATGAACCAGACTTGTGGAGGTTTACAAAAAAGATTCTGAGGTCTTGGCTGATTTCTTTTGATTTTTCCATGATGTCAAGCAGAGGCACTGAGTTTTGAAGGTAGGCCTTGAAATACATCCACAGGTACACCTCCAATTGACTCAAATTATGTCAATTAGCCTATCAGAAGCTTCTAAAGCCATGACATCATTTTCTGGGATTTTCCAAGCTGTTTAAAGGCACAGTCAACTTAGTGTATGTAAACTTCTGACCCACTGGAATTGTGATACAGTGAATTATAAGTGAAATAATCTGTCTGTAAACAATTGTTGGAAAAATTACTTGTGTCATGCACAAAGTAGATGTCGTAACCGACTTGCCAAAATTATAGTTTGTTAACAAGAAATGTGTGGAGTGGGTGAAAAACAAGTTTTAATGACTCCAACCTAAGTGTATGTAAACTTCCGACTTCAACTGTATATAGACAGGTGTGTGTCTTTCCAAATCATGTCCAATCAATTGAATTTACCACAGGTGGACTCCAATCAAGTTGTAGAAACATCTCCAGGATGATCAATGGAAACAGGGCGCACCTGAGCTCAATTTCGAGTCTCATAGCAAAGCAAATACTTGTGTAAATAAGGTATTTCTTATTTCGCTTTGTCATTATGGGGTATTGTATATATTTTTTTGTGTGTGTGTAGATGATGAGGAAATGTAACGTAACAAAATGTGGAAAAAGTCAAGCGGTCTGAATACTTTCCGAATGCACTGTATCACTTCTATCTATCTATACAGTGTAGGTGGACTCACAAAAAGAAGTGATATAACAGAGACCTGAATCAGTCATTTTGATTATTAGGGCTATACAGCAATTGCTGCAACAACCACCTCTTTGAAATATCCATGGCTTCATCTGAAAGGAACTGGGGCTTGTATATTACTCAACTTTCTTTGACAATCACAGTGCTGTGAAAAAAGTTTTTTGCATACAAAAGATAGTACATCCGGAAAGGGAAAAAAAAATTATAATCAATTTGAGCCAACCCTATAGCCTACCATCAGCAAAGCAATGTGCAGTGACAGCTCAGAAGGCATGTGTGGGATGATTGTCTTCTAATGCTATAGCAATTAGCCTACCATCAATTTGATATAATACTGCATTAAAACAGACATAATTTTACATAGGCGTCAAGCCAATGCCACTGTGGATATAGTCCCCAACTCGGTGCAGTAGCCGCTCATAATGCATTGAGGGGGGGCACGTTAATTAAATGAAATACATTGTCATCAGTTAGTATCGTGGTACTCACACGCATGTGTGACGGAAAAGCTGTTGGAGGATTCGAGTTGTCTACATTATAATTGAGATGGAAAGGTTTCTCTCCGTCACATTTTGATTGGTATTATACAGCTGGACAGCGAATCTGAAGGCGCTGTGCTCCTGCACTGTAGAGCGCATAAAAAGTCCCACCTATAGACAAGAGGAGAGGAGAATGGGAAGAATTGCATAGCTTAGTTCCTCTTATTCTGTTTCATGAAAACATAGTATGACATCATATCAGTCCTATAATTATTTTCAATCATGTCGACAAATTTCAGTCCTATTTTACGCACCAAGGTATTCACATAACTAACTGGATAACATTGCTTTTTTTACTGGAAACACATCACCATATTTCAACTGTGATTCATTTGTTAATGTATAATCTATACTGCCCATGAATTGGTGTAAAGTTCGTATAATATACTTAAATAGGCAGTATGTGCAACTTTGGTGATTTTTCTTTACCCTCCCCACTCTCAAGCGCATTGTTTTTCTCTTAGTAGGTGGCTACTCTCGTTAGGTTCTTACTGATGAACTGACAATTAAATTATGCCAATAATACTCCGTGTAAATGAAGTCACCACCACACCAGCTGTTAATGTACATTTATCTCGTTTTCTTTTTGGCTAAATAAAACATGTTAGTATTCAAATATAACTTACCTATATTTATCTGTTTGGAAACGCTCCATGCGATTTACCAAAAAGCCACCAAAAAAAAGGACAGTCGCTATTAGCGATTCCCCAGTTTCTCAGACCTCTGAATGAACTCCTCAAACAATCTGATATAGGAAACCATGTAAGGACACAACCTATGGCGCATAAAATCCGCCCGATTGTAAGGTTGCTCTCACCTCTCACTGTGGACTACAGTTATATACATTTAGACTGGAGCCTAAGAACACACAGAGCGAATCTCTCCGTGAGAAAAAAGGCACAGACTTTCTCAAGATGGTAGGCGGAGCGAGAAGAGGATATTTTTGTGTATAAGGATCCAATTGAGCCAGCAGGGGACGTTGATTAACTTGATCTGACTTTGAATTATAACAGCATCCTCGCCATGCAGCCGCTGCAGACGTGGGGCTGGGAATGAATCGCGCGGACGCCACTATACATTTTGTCCGCATGGTGCAAGACAAAGCGAGTCAGTTACGATGGTATCGTTCTGTAGCCTGTGGGCTAGTTGAGTGAAAGTTAAATTACTGTTATTCTTTTAATGCATCGTCTATAGCTATCTTTGAAATGTAATGATTCCTATATGAAACAAATAAGCATTAGGCTATGTGATTTTCCTAAATACGTGGGGAGAACAAGTATTTGAATAACCTGCAAATCGGCAGGTTTTCCTCTACAAAGCTGTAAGTCTGTAATTTTTATCATAGGTACCACTACACTTCAACTGTGAGAGACGGAATCGTAAAACAAAAATCCAGAAAATCACGTTGTATGATTTTTTAAGTAATTTATTTGCCTTTTATTCATGACATAAGTATTTGTGAATACATCAGAAAGCAGAACTTAAATGTTGGGTACAGAAAAGCTCGGTTGTTTGCAATTATAGAGATCATATGTTTCCTGTGTCTGACCAGGTTTGCACACCTGCAAGAAAGCAGGGATTTTGGGCCCACCCTCAGGTGACAACCTGTCTCCAGATCCTTCAGGTTTTGGGGCTGTCGCTGGGCAATACGGGACTTTCACCTCCCGGCCCCTCCCAAAGATTTTAGATAGGGACCTTGAGATGCTTCTTACGGAGTAGCCACGTGTCTAGTTGCCCTGGGCGTTGTTTCGGTGTTGTCATGGCTGGAAGACCCAGCCACTACCCATCCTGCATGCTCTTACTGAGGGAAGGGGTTTGTTTGCCATGAGTCCTCGCGATACATGGCCCCGACCATCCTCCCCTAATGTCTGTGCAGTCGTCCTGTCCCCTTTGCGAACAGCCCCCAAGACTTATGTTGCCCCTCATGCTTCACGGTTGGATGGTGGTTCTTGGGTTGTACTCAGCCTTCTTCTCCTCCAAACACTGCGATGGGGAGTTAGACCAAAAGCTATAATTTTTGTCTCATCGACACATGACTTCTCCCATTCCTCCTCTGGATCATCCAGATGGTCATTGCCACTTCAAGACGGTCCTGGACATGCGTGCTGGCTTTGAGCAGGGGCCTTGTCGTGCGCTGCAAGGAAATTTTAATCCATGAGTGCGTATTGTGTTTACTAATGGTTTTCTTTTGAGACTGGTCCCAGCTCTCTTCAGGTCATTGACCAGGTTCCCTGCCGTGTGTATTGTCGGGCTGATCCCTCACACCTTCCTCATGATCATTGATGCCCCACGAGGTGAGATCTTGCATGGAAGCCCCAGACCGAGGGTGATTGACCTCATCTTGAAACTTCTTCCATTTTCTAATAATTGCGCCAACATTGTTGCCAAGGTGGTTTCTGTCTGCTTCTCACCAAGCTGCGGCCCTATTGGGTCTCTGGTAGCCCATACCACCTTGTGTGCTGGTCTACAGTGTGTTTATGCCCTGATGTCCTTCGTGTCTAGCTCTCTGGTCTGTGGCCATTGTGGAGAGGTGAGTTTTGATTGAGTGTGTGGACACTGTCTTTATACAGGTAACAGTTCAAACGAGGGCAGTTAATTACAGGTAAGTAGTGAGTCTACAGGAGAGCTTCTTAAAGAAAAACTAACAGGTCTGTGAAGCCGAATTCTTACTGTGTTGGTAGGTGATCAAATACTTATGTCAGCAATACAGTGTCAATTAATTACTTAAAATCATAACAATGTGATTTTCTGGATTTTTGTTTAGATTCTGTCTCTCACAGTTGAATTGTACTATGATTAAAATTTACAGACCGCTACATGCTTTGTAAGTGGAAACCTGCAAAATCGGCATGTGTACTCACACTTACTTGTTCTCCCACTGTAAATGACCATTTATATTAAAGTGATGCCAGGCAAATTGCTGGCCCTTTTCCCTCTCCTGTGTAACTAAAATGGGGGGGGCATTCTTTGAAGTTAGTATCGTGGTACCACACCTTTGTGACGAAATTGGGGGATTCGAGTTGTCAATAAATGAGATGGAAAGTTTCTCCGCCCACATTTTGTTTGGTATTATACAGCTGGACAGCGAATCTGAAGGCGCTGTGCTCCTGCACTGTAGAGCGCATAAAAGCCCACCTATAGACAAGAGGAGAGGAGAAGGGAAAAATTGCATAGCTTAGTTCCTCTTATTCTGTTTCATGAAACATAGTATGACATCAATATCAGTCCTTAAAAATTATTTTAAATCACTGTCGACAAATTATCAGTCCTATTTTACGCCCCAAGGTATTTCACATAACAAACTGGATGAACATTGCTTTATCTGGAATACACATCACCAATTAATTCAACTGTGATTCTTTTGTTAATGTATAATCTATACTGCCCAGTGAAGTGGTGTAAAGTTCTGTATGAAGATACTTAAATAGGCAAGTATGTGCAACTTTGGTGATTTTCTTTTACCCTCCCCCACTCTAAAGCGCATTGTTTCTCTTAGCTAGGTGGCTACCTCTCGTTAGGGTATTACTGATGAACTTGACAATTAATTATGCAAAATAATAATCCGTGTAATGAAGTCAACACCACACAAGCTGTTAATGTACATTTATCTCGTTTTCTTTTTAGGCTAAAGAAAAAACATGTTAGTAATTTCAAATATAACTTACCTATATTTATCTGGTTTGGAAACGCTCCATGCGATTACCAAAAAGCCACACAAAAAAAAGGGACAGTCGCTATTATGCGATGCCCCATTTTCTCAGACCTCTGAATTTAAACTCCTCAAACGGAATCTGATATAGGAAAACCATGTAAGTACACAAGCCTATGCGCAGAGAAAATCCGCCAGATGTGTAAGGTGCTCTCAGCCTCTCACTGTGGACTACGAGTGATATACATTGAACTGCGAGCCGAACAGCAGCAGAGCGAATCTTCTTCCCGTTTGAGAAAAAAGGCACAGACTTTCTCAAAGATGGTAGCGGAGCGAGAAGAGGATATTTTTGTGTATAAGGATCCAATTGAGCCAGCAGGGGGACGTTGATTAAACTTGATCTGACGTTGAATTAGAACAGCATCCTCGCCATGCAGCCGCTGCAGACGTGGGCTGGGAAGAATCAGCGCGGACGCAGCTATACAGTGTTTGTCCGCATGGTGCAAAGACAAAGCGAGTCCAGTTACGATGGTATCGATTCTGTAGCCATGTGGGCTAGTTGAGGGAAAGTTAAATTACTGTTATTCTTTAATGCATCGTCTATAGCCTATCTTGTGAAATGTAATGATTCTATATGAAAAAATAAGCATTAGGCTATGTGATTTTCCTAAATACAGTGGGGAGAACAAGTATTTGATAACCTGCAAAATCGGCAGTGTTTCCTACTTACAAAGCATGTAGAGGTCTGTAATTTTTATCATAGGTACACTTCAACTGTGAGAGACGGAATCGAAAACAAAAATCCAGAAAATCACGTTTGTATGATTTTTAAGTTAATTTATTTGCATTTTATTGCATGACATAAGTATTTGATACATCAGAAAAGCAGAACTTAATATTTGGTACAGAAACCTTTGTTGCAATTATAGAGATCATATGTTTCCTGTAGGTCTTGACCAGGTTTGCACACACTGCAGCAGGGATTTTGGCCCACTCCTCCATACAGACCTTCTCCAGATCCTTCAGGTTTTGGGGCTGTCGCTGGGCAATACGGACGTTCACTCCCTCCCAAAGATTTTATATAGGACCTTGAGATGCTTCTTACGGAGCCACTCCTTAGTTGCCCTGGCTGTGTGTTTCAGGTTGTTGTCATGCTGGGAAGACCCAGCCACGACCCATCTTCATGCTCTTACTGAGGGAAGGAGGTTGTTGGCCATGATCTCGCGATACATGGCCCCATCCCTCCTCCCCTCAATACGGTGCAGTCGTCCTGTCCCCTTTGCAGAAAAGCATCCCCAAAGAATTATGTTTCCACCTCCATGCTTCACGGTTGGGATGGTGTTCTTGGGGTTGTACTCATCCTTCTTCTTCCTCCAAACACGGCGAGTGGAGTTTAGACCAAAAAGCTATATTTTTGTCTCATCAGACCACATGACCTTCTCCCATTCCTCCTCTGGATCATCCAGATGGTCATTGGCAAACTTCAGACGGGCCTGGACATGCGCTGGCTTGAGCAGGGGGACCTTGCGTGCGCTGCAGGATTTTAATCCATGATGGCGTATTGTGTTACTAATGGTTTTCTTTGAGACTGTGGTCCCAGCTCTCTTCAGGTCATTGACCAGGTCCTGCCGGTGTAGTTCTGGGCTGATCCCTCACCGTTCCTCATGATCATTGATGCCCCACGAGGTGAGATCTTGCATGGAGGCCCCAGACCGAGGGTGATTGACCGTCATCTTGAACTTCTTCCATTTTCTAATAATTGCGCCAACAGTTGTTGCCTTCTCACCAAGCTGCTTGCCTATTGTCCTGTAGCCCATCCCAGCCTTGTGCAGGTCTACAATTTTATCCCTGATGTCCTTCCACAGCTCTCTGGTCTTGGCCATTGTGGAGAGGTTGGAGTCTTTGATTGAGTGTGTGGACACGTGTCTTTTATACAGGTAACGAGTTCAAACAGGTGCAGTTAATACAGGTAATAAGTGGAGAACAGGAGAGCTTCTTAAAGAAAAACTAACAGGTCTGTGAGAGCCGGAATTCTTACTGGTTGGTAGGTGATCAAATACTTATGTCATGCAATAAAGTGCAAATTAATTACTTAAAAATCATACAATGTGATTTTCTGGATTTTTGTTTTAGATTCTGTCTCTCACAGTTGAAGTGTACCTATGATAAAAATTACAGACCTCTACATGCTTTGTAAGTAGGAAAACCTGCAAAATCGGCAGTGTATCAAATACTTGTTCTCCCCACTGTATATGACAGTTATATTAAATGAATGCCAGGCAAATTGCTGGCCCTTTCATCTCCTGTGTAACTGGTCTCTGGAGATATTCCTGAAGACATGACAAGTTTTTTTTAAATCTCCTGAACTAAACCTGTAAGTAACCCAGTCCCCAGCCCAGGTGTTAGGTAGACTTCAAGTTCTATGAGTCAGTCAAATATATTTTCCCTCAAAATAGTTCCTGTGACAATGAAAGTGAATGAGTGCCACTTCAGGTTTTCATTAAAATAATTCCTCCCATGATTGCAGAGTATTCTGCACTGCCTGCCTGTCAGTATCTTTGGGGCAAATGTGATTGAGTCTGTCAGTCATTAATTCTGGGGTTACTGTAGAATGTGAAACAGGTGCTGCTGCAGCGCCCCGTCAGACCCACGCCATTCGACCCCTTTTCATCAAGCCCCACTGTGCCTACAGTCACAGGCAGGTACCAAGAGAAAAGGGATGTGATGTTCCATCCCGGGGAATGAAATCCCTCCCAGCGCTTGAGAGCTCTCGCCTCCAGCAGGTTGGAAATATTCATTAGTTTTGCAGAGGAGTTGCACACTGCTGCTTGCTGAGGGACTTAGTGCAGTTATAAAAAGGTATCAATCATCTTCTCTAACCTTTATACAGTACATACTGTAGCATACAGCCACTCACTACACTAAGTATACAAAACATTAAGAACACCTTTCCATGACATACACAGACAAGGTCAATCCAGGTGAAAGCTATGATCCCTTATTGATGTCACTTGTTAAATCCACTTCAAATCAGTGTAGATGAAGGGGAGGAGACAGGTAAAAGAAATATATTTAAGCCTTGAGACAATTGAGACATATATTGTGTATGTGTACCATTCAGAGGGTGAATGGGCAAGACAAAATAATTAAGTGCCTTTGAACGGGGTATGGTAGTAGTTGCCAGGTGCACCGGTTTGTGTCAAGAACTGCAACGCTGCTGGGTTTTTCACGCTCAACAGTTTCCCATGTGCATCAAGAATGGTCCACCACCCAAAGAAGTATTTAGTATTTAGTTTTTTTGTGTTATTTGTTACATTATTAGCCCAGAATGTCACGGTTTCGGCCGAGGCTGCTCCTCCTCCTGGTTCGGGCAGGCATCGGCGGTCGTCGTCCCCGGAGTACTAGCTGCCACCGATCTATGTTTCATGTTCGTTTGGTTTGGTCTTGATGTTGTACACCTGTGTCTAGTTAGTCCTCATTAGTGTTCTATTTAAGTCTCGTTGGGTGTGTCTGTGTTTGTGTGTGATTGTTCCTGTCGTATGTTTGCTTGTCGATTTCCTTATTCGCTCGGTTGAGCTTTACTCCACTGTGTTGGAGCGTTTTACGCACCTGTGTAGTGCGCCTTTTGTTTGTCGCCTACGTGCGTAGTTTCGCCTTCGGGCAAGTTTGTTCTGTTTTCCTTGTTGGATATTCCACTAAAGTCTTTTGGACTATACTTCGGTGTCCTGCGCTTGATTCCACCACTACACCCACCTACAGCATTTATGACAGAATCACACACCATAAGAATGGAATCAGCAGGAGCCGCAGCAGCCCAGGCGACGCTGGAGGACAGGGTCCGTGAACAGAGTGACCAGATCCTGCAGATGGGGTCCGCACTGCAGGAGGTGATCACCACCATCCGAGGCTGGGGGGACTCCTACACCGCCATCCTCTCTGCCAGCCCCATCGGGAAGTCAGCCCATTCCCGCTCCGGAACCCAGAGGAGTTCGACTCTCGCTCCCGAGGGCCTACGATGGGACCGCGGCCGGGTGTCAGGGATTCCTTCTCCAGGTGGAGCTTTACCTGGCCACCGTGCACCCGGCGCCCTCGGGACATGAGAGCGTGTCCGCCCTGATCTCCTGCCTTTCCGGGAAGGCGTTGGAATGGGCCAACGCAGAGTGGAGGAGGATCGACGCGAACACCATCACCTACGACGAGTTCTCCCGCCGCTTCAGGGCGGTGTTTGACCATTCCCCGGAGGGGAAAGCGGCGGGGGAGCGTCTGGTCTTCCTCCGGCAGGGGAGGAGGAGTGCCCAGGAGTTCGCCTTAGAATTCCGTACTCTAGCGGCGGATGCAGGGTGGAATGAGCGGGCTCTCATCGATCATTACAGATGTAGTCTACGCGAGGACGTCCGTAGGGAGCTGGCCTGTAGGGACACCAGCCTCTCGTTCGACCAGTTGGTCGACATGTCCATCAGGCTGGATAACCTGCTAGCTACCCGCG